GTACACCCACAGCCTTGTGCTCCTTTTTGAAATGCTTTCTCAGGAACCAGCACATCATGTTCTCACTCTATCTATTTCCCTCTGATACAGGTGCTAACTAACCCCCTAGAAGTGAAAGGACACTTGCTGCATTAGGTCACAGAACTTTATATAGAGAGAAAAACCAAAGGTGATTTACAGATGCTAAGGACAACTTACATTTCTATAGCAACTGAGCATTGGAGAGGAAAAAATATGTTCATGCACAGCTAACACTTTAAGGTATTTTTAGTCTTCTTTTGATAAAAGAAGTAAGCAAATAGAATAACTATAATCACGCTACACAGATTTGCGATAATATTTATTTTACATTATTACATTCTGATAAATATTGTAAGATTACCTATATGAGAAGGAAGATCACTAAAGCAAAATATATGTACACAAAACCAAGAAACACACAAAAAATTATCTCTAAATATGTGAGCTGGTTATAGGTAGTATAAACTCCAGTTGCTGCCCACTTCCTCTAATCATCCTCATCTCTGAAATACTCCCTAGCAAGCCTGACTTCTAGAAAATGTTAGTAGTAAATAAAATGAGTGAAACACAGAAAACAGTCCCAAGGGGGATATGCTTGTACCTGGCCTTAGCAGAGGTCTCTAACCTAAAGGAGAATGGAAGCAGAATATTACTCTACAGACTGTATTCYCAGGAACAAGGCAAGCAGGCTTCCAAGCTCCTCTTTTTTGAGGAACAATCTATTTGAGCATCATAGTGGGAAACCTTGATCATTTTATTTTTCTTATCAGCTCCATACCTCTATGTACTACTTCATCAGAAATTGATTATTTGTGGACCTCTGTTAACTGTTTTATTATTACTCCTAAAATACTGATGAACTTTATATTAGAGAAGAACACAACTTTGCATTGAAGACTACATATCACAGCTCTATATCCTTATATTTGTCATGGCTGTTCATTACATGCTGACCAAGAGCTGCTGTCATTTCATCAAGTCAGCTCCCTGCCAATTGTTGTGGAATTTATAATGGGATTGGGTAGTTCAACAACTTGTATTAAAACTATACTTTTCTGGTGCTGGGGTTGTGGCTCAGTGGTACAGCGCTCGCCTAGCATGTGTGAGGCACTGGGTTTGATACTCAGCACCACATAAAAAAATAAATAAAGGGCTGGAGATGTGGCTCAGCGGTGGCGCGCTCGCCTGGCATGCGTGCGGCCTGGGTTCGATCCTCAGCACCACATACAAACAAAGATGTTGTGTCCGCCGAGAACTAAAAAATAAATATTAAAAATTCTCTCACTCTCCTCTCTCTCTCTCTCTCTCTTTAAAAATAAATAAATAAATAAATAAAGGTATTTTGTCCATCTATAACTAAAAAAATTAATTCTTTTAAAAAAATATACTTTTCTGAGTTACTCATCAACTCATCAGCCATTCCTTTTCTCATGCACTAGCATATATGATATTAATATAACAAAGTTCTTCATGGCTCAATTGAATATTGTAGTCACTAGATTAAAGTACTTATTTCCTATACCTTTTTTCTTCAGCATCTTCCTCATCCGTTTCACAAAGGGCAAATCCAAAGTCTTCAGCGGCATCTCTGTGATTCTTTTATAGACTGAGATTTTTAATGCTTCTGCCTTGTTTTCTTTTGGATTGCTCACTTCAGAAAAAGCCATATGCCTTGTAGTGAGAACTCTCAATCACAACTATGGAAAGGGGCATGCAGCAAGAAAGAAAGGCCTCCTGCCACACTGAACCCTTCTGCCAAAATTATGTGAGTGAACTATCTGGGATTTGAATCTTGCAAACCTAGCCAAGCCTTCAATGAACAAAGCCAATCTCTTGAACACAACTCTGTGAGCAATTCTGAGCAACCTAGCCAAGTTGTTATCAAACTCCTGATCCACAGAAACTGGAAAAATCATAAATGTTCACTGTTTGAAGTTGTCAAGTTTTAAAGTATGTTAAATAGTTAGTAGAAATAAATGGTTAAGGCACATATAAGAGATATTCAATTAATTAACAGAAATTTAAATTAAAATAATACTATTTTAGATCAGCATCCCTAGATATTCTATTTCTAGAGGCGTATATCAACTAAATTCTCTTATGAGACCATAAGAGGAAATTTACATTGATTGTGATACAAGGAGTAGGAGCAAAATGAGTGTCTGTCAATATACGACTGAGTAGGTAAAATGAAGTGTAATACAGTAGTGGAAACAACAAATTAGCTATGGACATAGCAACAGGGATTGATTTTAGAGGGACAATGTAAGGTTTCAAAACTAAGAAAAAAATGAGATATAAAACAGAACAGCACCTATGTATATTAAAATTATAAAGCACAGACTTTTGAGTAAAGTGCAGTACAGTAGGGCAGGTGAATGCTCCTGAAGTAACAAATAGAAAAAAATATATTATTTATAAAAATTCTATTTTGTGGCTATCACGAAGCTATGGAAGAAATAAGAGTGAGATAAAGGGAAATTTCTGAGAGGACAGAACCATGCTGAGGCAAAATGACAATCTCCAGGAACTTTTAACCTACAGGAATCTTCTGCATCTGACCACCAACTTGTCATGGGCCTTGGTCCAAGCACAGAGCCTCTGTTAGGGATAAATGAGCCATCAAAGCTTTCAAAGGCTGTTAAAGGAGTGGTGTAACATTTGGAAACTTGAGGGACTTCAAACACATGGCCAGTTTTACCCAGAGGACATTTGCTAAATGCTGGAGTTGTATGGACTGAGGACTAGAACAAAAGCTTCTAAAAATGCTAAGTGAAATCTCCTATACCTATACCCTGTGGTGCTTAGGAAACAAAGATATTTTTTTGAGGGACTTGCATTAATATCAGTGATATATACTTTCTGACCTAGTCTCCCCTTCAAAACATTTGCCATATTTTGAAGCTACCTGAGGTAGAAAAATGAAGAGCTAAATGGAAATCCTCTAGAGAAGATAATAAAACTTCTAAGTCTTTTGAAAGGTAAGAGACAAAGACCCCAACAGTTTAACTAACTCAATAAAACATCTGGAAAGGTCAAGTTTAGAAATGATAAAAACTAATATARACTGAATCTTACTAGAACTCCAATACAAGTCTAATCATGTTCAGTTCCTGATTGAATTGTGATCAGTTCTCATTCCTGATGCCTAACAGAAGGAAGGAGAACCACCTTTGGTGAAAGATAGCATTATCTAAAAACCAAAGAACCATATGTTTCATACACAATATTTGGTATATAACACATAATTACTCCATGTATAAAGAGTTAAGAGTATATGATTATATTAATCAACCTTCTGTTACTGTAAGAAATACCTGAAATAATTTATGAAGAGAAAAGTTTGCCTTGGCTCACAGTTTTAAAGGTTTCAATCCATGATCAATTGACACCCCCCTGCCCCACTACTGTGGGCCTGTGGCAACACATCATGGTGGGAGTGTGTAGCAAGGAAAATTGCCTACCTCATGGCTGGAAAGCAAAAGAGAGAGAGARAGAGGAAAAGTCTAGGGTCCCACAATCTCCTTGAAGGGGCACACCCCAAATGACTTAAGACCTCTTACTAAGTACCACCTGTTAGCTTCTGCTACTTCCTAATAGTAGCAGGCTGAGGACTAAGACTTTAACACATGGGTCTTGGGAAACTTCCCAGATCCAGACTACAGTAATGACCAATAATGAAGACATGAAGTAAACAGTAAAAGCAAATAGAATTTTCCAGATTTGGAGTCTATGATAGATATTTTTAAATAACTCTGATTAGTAAAATCAAGAAAATAAAAGGTGGGTGAATTTGAAGTATGGGATCTCCACAAAAGAATCAAATGAAATTTTCTTGAATGATAATAATGCACTAACCTTAATGGAGTACAGATTACACAGGTGTATACATTTTTCAAACTCCATGCATGCATACTTAAACTTTGTGCATTTTACTACATATAAATTTTACCTCTAACAACATAGACTGTAAGAATGCAGAAATATAGTTAATTGTATACACGCAGAAATATTTAGGGAAAAGAGCATTTATGTCTACAAGTGTAACTCCCCTTCGTGTACAACCACAAGAACAGTATCCTAAATTACACTCCATGTATGTATAATATGTGAAATATACTCTACTGTCATGTTTATCTAAGCATAACAAATAAATTTTTTTAAAAAGAGATGGATTGATGAGTAGATGAAGGGGTGGACAAACAAATAACAAAGCAAGCCAAGTACAATGCTAATGATAGAACTACAAATTACAGGTGTTCACTGTAAATTTTCAACTTTGTTGTTTATTTAAATCACAAACTAAAATGTTGATATAAGGGGATATTATGAATGATGGTATTTCAATAAATTTGACATTTGCATTTAAAAGTAGACAACTTCTTCCMAAAAAATCTCACTTATATAACATAGTGGTTTAAAATAGTACCCAAATTATTTGATACTTCTTCAAAATATAGAGCACATTTACTTTCCCTTGCAAGTGGGCCAGATTTAATGATTTCCTCCTAGTGAAAAAGAAAAAAACAGAAGTAGCAATTGCAATTTCAGAGATTAGGTCACAAGAGGCATTATGGCTAGCTGTTGTGTGTGTGTGTGTTTGTCTCTCTCTCTTTGACAGATTACCTGCACTGGAAAAATCAGTTGTCATGGCACCCTATGAAGAGACTCTAAGCCAATAACCACTGATTGAGTTTCAAAATACATACTGCAGCCCAGTCAAGCCTACAATAAACATCCTAACTCCATAATGAAATGTTATAAACTTTCTTCCTAAGGAACAAGTCAAGATACCCACTGTCACATTTACATTCAGTATTGTATTAGAGATCCTAATCAATGCAATAAGGCAAGAAAAATAAAGGCATAAGGATTAGAAAGAGAAAAACTGATTTTTAATAGATGATATAATTACATAGATAGAAAATCCAAATGAATATACATTAGAATCAATAAATAAATGTAACAGGTTTGTCAAAAACAAAATCATTATATAAAAGTCAGTTTTATCTCCATATACTATAGACAATTAGAAAATCAAATAGTTTTAAAGATTCAGTTAGCAAAAATATCAAGAAATATTAAATATCTAGCAATATAAATTCAACAGAAGATGTGTAGAAATCTACTGAAAACTAAAAATTTCAATGAACAAAAATTTAAGAACTCAACAAAGGGAGGGATATGTTACATTCATGGATTCGAAAGCTTTCAGGTGTAAGAATCTCAATTTTCCCAAATTAAGCTATAGATTTAAAAGTTCTAATAAAAAATTCTGGCAGGTTTTCCCCCTGAAATTGATGAGTTCATATAGAAATGCAAAAGGTCAAGAATATCCACAGCAATCTTGAAAAAAACAAAACTGAGAGATTTACATTGCAGATCTTTTATAAAGCTACAGTAGTTAAAGCTATGTAGTAATAGTAGCACCAAAAGACAAACTGTTAACTAGAAGATAGTATTCTGATTTATGGCAATAATAAAAGTACATTACCACAAGCAACGGATCATCTTTTCAATAAATTGAGCTGAGTCACACATGGAAAATACTGTGCTTTCACCTCCATCTCATTCGTTAAAAAAACCAATTCTAGATGAATTCAGGCCTAAGTGAGAAATATAAAACAAAATATTTTAAAAGAAGCTTATTGAATATTGGAATAAAGATTTCTTAAGTAGAATATTTAAAGCACTATTCATAAATAAAAACAATTAATACACTAACTTCTAGAAACACAATAAACACCATGAAGAGGATGAAAGGTAACCAATGCAGAGGGACAAAAGGTAACCAATGAGAGGGAGCCTCATAGCCACAATATTAAAAGGATTCCCACAAATCAATAAGCAAAAGAAAAACAGATAAAAGACTGAACATATACTTAATAAAAGAAGATATCCATATATAGGATATGGAGATATAGAGATATAGACATATATATCATTGGTTTTTAGCATGTTTAAAAGTTTATAAAAATGACTCTACTAGAAATACCCTGCAACTTTCTTTTTTTTGTTGTTTTGCTCAATATATTTTTTAGAATTATCCATGTTACCATACCTCTAGTCTAATCATTTCCATTAATCTGTTTAATTCCATTGTCTGGCCATACCATACACATTTTAATATGGTATGTAAAAATATCATTTATTTTTAGGGCTGGGGTTGTAGCTCAGTGTTATAGCTTGCCTCAGATGTGTGAGGCAGTGGATTCAATTCTTAGCACCACATTTAAATAAATTAATAAAATAAAGGTCCATCAACAACTAAAAAATATATAAAGTATATATTGTTTATTTTTAAATATGTAAGATTGAAAAATAAAAGATATTCAAAAGTCCAAATAGCCAATTTCATTAGTCATCAGAGAAATTCAAATTAAAGCCACAATACACTGCTTATACACACTTTTTGTTATAGTTTAGATCTGGAATGCCCCACAAAGGCTCATGTATAGAAGGCTTAGTCCCCACTCCAGCAATGTTTAGAGGTGGGGCTTTTGGAAATGAATGTCTCACAAGGGCTCTAATCTTATAAATGGATTATTCCATTAATGAGTTCATAATTTAATGGACTATTAGGAGGTGGTGAAAATTATAGATGATGATTGTCAAGTTGGAGAATGTAGGTCACTGGGGGCATATACGGAAGAGTATATGTTATACCAGCTTCCTCTCTTCTCCTTCCCCCTTGTTCTGCCCCCCTCTCCCCTACCTCCCTTTCTATCCCTCCTCCCTTCTGTCATCCAAAGCAATGGAGCCACCTGACTATGAATCTCTGAAAGCATAAGTCAAAATAAATCTTTCCTCCCTTAAGCTGCTTTTCTCAAGTATTTGGTCAGAGCAATGAAAGTTGACTAACACACCTTCTAAAATGACTAAAAAAATTATTTTGAGAGAGAGAGAGAATTTTTTTTATATTTATTTTTTAGTTTTCCACGGACACAACATCTTTGTTTGTATGTGGTGCTGAGGATCGAACCCGGGCTGCACGCATGCCAGGTGAGCGCTACTGCTTGAGCCACATCCCCAGCTCAAAAAAATGACTAAAAAATTTTTTTAATTAAAAAAAGTAATGCCAAGGATGTGGAGTAACTGGAACCCTCATAAACTGTTGGTGAAAGTGTACAATGATGTAACCACTTGGAAAACTATAAACATATGCATTGTGTTATGACCCAGCAATCCTCCTCAGTATGTACCCTACATAAAGACATACATGTATTCACCATAAAACACCTGATAATGTTCACAAAGCAATATTATTTTATAATATCGAGAATCCAGAAACCCAAATATCCATCAATTGGTGAATATATAGCCCTAATATCCAGAGTATACAAAGAACTCAAAAAATTAGACAATAAGTTAACAAATAACCCAATCAACAAATGGGCCAAGGACCTGAACAGACACTTCT